AAATCAGTATGGTACACTACTTACTGAGGCCCTTTTTTCAGGTATCAGTATGGTACACTACGGACCTATTACATGTATCAGCATGGTACACTACGGACCTATTACAGGTATCAGTATTGTACACTACGACCCTATTACAGGAATCAGGATGGTACACTGCTGCTTTATTACAGGTATCAGTATGGTACACTACTTACTACGGACCTATTACACGAATCAGTATGGTACACTACGGACCTATTACAGGTATCAGTATGGTACACTACGGACCTATTTCATGTATCAGTATTGTACACTGCTGCCCTATTACAGGTATCAGTATGGTACACTACTTACTACGGCCGTATTACATGTATCAGTATGGTACACTACTTACTACGGACCTATTACAGGTAGCAGTATGGTACACTACTTACTACGGACCTATCACAGGTATCAGTATGGTACACTACGGACCTATTACAGGTATCAGTATTGTACACTACGGCCCTATTACAGGAATCAGTATGGTACACTGCTGCTTTATTACAGGAATCAGTATGGTACACTACTTACTACGGACCTATTATTGGTATCAGTATGGTACACTACGGACCTATTACAGGTATCAGTATGGTACACTACTTACTACAGCCCTATTACAGGTATCAGTATGGTACACTACTGCCCTATTACAGGTATCAGTATGGTACACTACTTACTACGGCCCTATTACAGGTATCAGTATGGTACACTACGGACATATTACAGGTATCAGTATGGTACACTACGGCCCTTTTACAGGTATCAGTATGGTACATTACTTACTACGGCCCTATTACATGTATCAGTATGGTACACTGCGGCCCTATTACAGGTATCAGTATGGTACACTACGGCCCTATTACAGGTATCAGTATGGTACACTTCTTACTGAGGCCCTATTTCAGGTATCAGTATGGTACACTACTTAGTAAGGACCTATTACAGGTATCAGTATAGTACACTACGGACCTATTACAGGTATCAGTATGGTACACTATTTACTGAGGCCCTATTTCAGGTATCAGTATCACTACCCACGGCCCTATTACAGGTATCAGTATGGTACACTATTTACTGAGGCCCTATTTCAGGTATCAGTATGGTACGCCACGGCCCTATTACAGGTATCAGTATGGTACACCTCGGCCCTATTACAGGTATCAGTATGGTACACTACGGCCCTATAACAGGTATCAGTATGGTACATTACGGACCTATTACAGGTATCAGTATTGTACACTACGGCTGTATTACAGGTATCAGTATGGTACACTACTTACTATGGCCCTATTACAGGTATTACAGGTATCAATATTGTACACTACTTACTACCGACCTATTACAGGTATCGGGATGGTACAGTACTTACTTCGGCCCTATTACAGGTTTCAGTATGGTACATACCGACCCTATTGCAGGTATCAGTATGGTTCACTACGGCCCTATTACAGATATCAATATGGTACACTCTACGGCCCTATTACAGGCATCAGTATGGTACATTACTTACTACGGCCCTACTACAGGTATCAGTATGGCACAGTACTTACTACCGACCTATTACAGGTATCGGTATGGTACAGCACTTACTACGGCCCTATAACAGGTATCAGGATGGTACCCTGCTTTATTACAGGAATCAGTATGGTACACATGGTACACTACTTACTGCGGCCCTATTACAGGTAAGGTATCAGTATTGTACACTAATTACTACGGCCCTATTAGAGGTATCAGTATGGTACATTACTTACTACGGCCCTATACATGCATCAGTTTGGCACTCTACTTACTACGGCCGTATTACAGGGATCAGCATGGTACACTACGGCCCTCTTACAGGTATCGGTATGGTACAGCACTTACTACGGCCCTATACATGCATCAGTTTGGCACTCTACTTACTACGGCCGTATTACAGGGATCAGCATGGTACACTACTTACTATGGCCCTATTACAGGTATCACTATGGTACACTACTTACACTACGGCCCCATTACAGAAATCAGTATGGTACACTGGTACGCCACGGCCCTATTACATGTCTCAGCTGTTACACTACGGACCTATTTCAGGTATCTGTATGGTACACTACGGCATTACAGGTATCAGTATTGTACACTACGGCTGTATTACAGGTATAAGTATGGTACACTACGGCCTTATGACCTGTATCAGTATGGTACACCACGGACCTATTACAGGTGTCAGTATTGTACACTACGGACCTATTTCAGGTATCTGTATGGTACACTACGGCGCTATTACAGGAATCAGTATAGTACACTACTTACTACGGCCGTATTACAGGTATCAATAGGGTACACTACTTACTACAGGTATCAGTATGGATCAGTATGGTACACTACAGCCCTATTACAGGTATCGGCATGGTACAGTACTTACTACGGCCCTATAACAGGCATCAGTATGGTACATTACTTACTACGGCCCTATAACAGGTATCAGCAGGTATCAGTATGGTTCATTACGGACCTATTACAGGGATCAGTATGGTACACTACGGCATTACAGGTATCAGTATCTACGGACCTATTACAGGGATCAATATGGTACACTAGGTATCAGTAAGGTACACTACTTGTACACTACGGCCCTATCATAGGTATCAGTATGGTACCCTATTACAGGTATCATTATGGTACACTCCTTACTATGGCCCTATTACAGGGATCAGTATGGAACACTACGGCCCTATTACAGGTATCAATATGGTACACTACGGACATATTACAGGTATCAGTATGGTACACTACTTACTACGGCCCTATTACAGGTATCAGTATGGTACACTACTTACTACGGACCTATTACAGGTATCAGTAGGGTACACTACGGCCCTATTATTGGTATCAGTATGGTATACTACGGTCATATTACAGGTATCAGTATGGTACACTGCGGACCTATTACAGGTATCAGTATGGTACACTACGGCCCTATTATTGGTATCAGTATGGTATACTACGGACATATTACAGGTATCAGTATGGTACACTGCGGACCTATTACAGGTATCAGTATGGTACACTGCGGACCTATTTCAGGTATCTGTATGGTACACTACTTACTACGGCCCTATTACAGGTATCAGTATGGTACACCACGGACCTATTACAGGTATCAGTATGGTACACTGCGGACCTATTACAGGTATCAGTATGGTACACTACTTACTACGGCCCTATTACAGGTATCAGTATGGCACACTACTTACTACGGACCTATTACAGGCATTAGTTTGGTACACTACGGACCTATTAAAGGTATCAGTATGGTACACCACGGCCCTATTACAGGTATCAGTATGGCACACTACTTACTACGGACCTATTACAGGTATTAGTTTGGTACACTACGGACCTATTACAGGTATCAGTATGGTACACCACGGCCCTATTACAGGTATCAGTATTGTACACTACGGCCCTATTACAGGTATCAATATGGTACACTACTTACTACGGACCTATTTCAGGTATCAGTATGGTACATTGCGGCCCTATTACAGGAATCAGTATGGTACACTACTTACTACGGCCCTATTACAGGTATCAGTATGGTACACTACGGCCCTATTACAGGTATCAGTATGGTACACTACGGACCTATTTCAGGTATCAATATGGTACACTACTTACTACGGCCCTATATGACAGGTATCAGTATGGTTCACTACGGACCTATAACAGGTATCAGTATGGTACACTACGGCCCTATTACAGGTATCAGTATGGTACACTACGGACCTATTACAGGTATCAGTATGGTACACTACTTACTGAGGCCCTTTTTTCAGGTATCAGTATGGTACACAACGGCCCTATTATAGGTATCAGTATGGTACACTACGGCCCTATTACAGGTATCAGTATGGTACACTACGGACCTATAACAGGTATCAGTATGGTACACTACGGACCTATTACATCTATCAGTATGGTACACTACGGCCCTATTACAGGTATCAGTATGGTACACTACGGACCTATTTCAGGTATCAATATGGTACACTACTTACTACGGCCCTAAATGACAGGTATCAGTATGGTACACTATTTACTACGGCCCTATCACAGGTATCAGTATGGTACACTACGGACCTATTTTAGGTATCAATATGGTACACTACTTACTACGGTCCTATTACAGGTATCAATATGGTACACTACTTACTACGGCCCTATATGACAGGTATCAGTATGGTACACTACTTACTACGGCCGTATTACAGGTATCGGTATGGTACAGTACTTACTACGGACCTATTACAGGTATCAGTATGGTACACTACGGCCCTATTGGTACACTACGGCCCTATTACAGGTATCGGTATGGTACAGTACTTACTACGGACCTATTACAGGTATCAGTATGGTACACTACGGACATATTACATCTATCAGGATGGTACACTACTTACTATGGCCCTATTACAGGCATCAGTATGGTACACTACGGCCCTATTACAGGTATCTGTATGGTACACTACGGACATATTACATCTATCAGTATGTTACACTACTTACTATGGCCCTATTACAGGTATCAGTATGGTACACTACGGCCCTATTACATCTATCAGTATGGTACACTACAGCCCTATTTCAGGTATCAGTATGGTGCACTACGGCCCTATTACAGGTATCAGGTGTATCAGTATGGTACTCCACGGCCCTATCGTAGATTTCACATGGGAAGCTTTTTACTACGGCCTGATGTATTATAGGTATCAGGCAGTACACTACTTACTACGGCCCTATACGTTTAAAGTATTACTACGGAGCTACTACACTGAACGTTCTCTGCGTGCGAAAATACATTAATCAAAAATCCTCCGCAATTGTTATGTTAATTTTATATCTTAATCGAACGCACCGTTACAGCCCAGGTAGAACTGTCGCTGGTTAGGTCCCTCCTCCCTGTCCCGTCATGTGATGCCAATATAACTTATATACAGACGAGCCTAATAATCACTTCATTCATGTCCGTCATAGGCGTAGTACGCTCGTAGTATGGCGAAGCAACGTGTTTTTGGCAGACGATATCGGCCTTGTGTTTATTTACCGTACATAACCTGTACACTTATGTCAGTCGCCCTACCCCCGGGCAATTAAACCTTATATACAACCGTGTACCTGGACAACACTGAGTGCATGTAAAGTAACACGTGTCTACATGTGTGTGCTATGGGATGATACTGTGTTTCGGACTCATGGATACATACACAACCTGTCATCATTCAATACATCTTATTCTCCTTATGTCCTTGGCTGGATATGTTTCAGGTAAGTGCATACCTGTCAAATAGTACATACCTTAGGTAGGTGCACTCAGCACTGGCATCAAACGCACGTGTCGGCAGTTAGGCGACAAACTATTCACACGCACGTGCCGGCTGATATCACACTGCCGACGTAGAGTATCACACGCACGTGTCGACTGATATCACGCTGGCGACGTAGTATCACACGCACGTGTCGGCTGATATCACGCTGCAGTGGCGGATCCAGAGACCTATCTGGGGAGGTTTCCAAATTTCCTGGGGGGGGG